GGGATGCTCTGTCAACTTTCTGTAGCACTCCCTGTGTTCCACATCTGGTCACTTCTTGTCACCAGAGCACTGCTAATGCTTGAGCTCTGGGATTTCTTGTCACGGCAGATTTGGTGGGCGTTGATGCAGAGACTCTAGCTGTGCTTTTCACAAACCAGCTTGTTTTAGTCTCCTCTTGGTATGGAAGCTGCTGAATAGCTCCAGTAGTTGATGAACGAAGAGTAAATGATTCACCTTGTGGCTGTCCATTCATTGTGTTTCTTGGTTTCTTTGTGTCTGTTCCAGCTTCTTCATGATCTCCCCCACTGACCAGCAAGTCCATTGCTGGGCCTGGCTGAAGAACCGCTTGCCAGATGACAGCAACCTGACCCTGGAGGACGTGACCTGGAAGTACACAGGTAAGGAATCACTGAAAGCAGACCCCCCCTTAGCCCAAAATCACAAATGGTGCCTTTGTGCCGCATACCAGTTAATTGTTTAAAGTGCCTGGAGTGGTGACTTGGTCTCCTTTCCAAACATTTTGATGAAAACAGCAATTCAGAGACTTCCTTCTGGCAAACCGTGAGCTGGAAGGCAGCTTTGCTTTACGGTGGGTTGTCAGGAGGAAGTTTGACTGTCTCCTCTGGTCTTAAATGTAAACATACCTATTAGTTCAATAAAGACTAAGACTTCAGATATTTGGGCATGCACACATGCGTGTTAGATACTGGGCAAGACTCCTAATGCTGATTTCTTCCCCCCTTTAGCTCTCAATCTGATTGGCCCCCGTGCTGTGGACGTGTTGTCTGAGTTGTCCTATGCCCCCATGACTGCAGAACACTTTCCCTCTCTCTTTTGCAAGGTGAGTGGCTGTGCTCCCATCCTCCTCTCCCTGCTGGGTTTTTCAAAGCACGCGTGGGAGGAGAGGAAGAATTATATTTTGGATAATTGGAGGGGAACTTAGATTTGCATACAGGCTTGCTGCAGTTGCTGAGCCAGGTTGGTAAAGAACCCACTGGGCTCACTTCTCTTTGGGTTCTGCTTGCTAAATATATCGGTGAGGATGCGTTTGTTTTCAGTATTCCTCTCACTGTGGACTTGATGCCGTTCGGTATCATGACATATTCCATATAATCAATCATGAAGCTTTCAGGGGGGCAGCTGGGATCAGTGACTCGGGCATCACTGTCTCCTGTCACGTTAAGAGGCTGAGCAGGTAGCTGCTGTTCAGCTTCTGTATCTGGAATACAACCTGTGTCCTGACCTAGTTCCAAGGCGTATTGCCAAGTGTCATGAAGTGATTAACAAGTCTGGATAAGGTGACATCATTATTTGAATTTTGAAATTCAAATTCATTGTGAGTACGTGCAGGAGGCGCATAGGGGAGAGAGAGGGCTGGGCAGTGTGGATGTGTTACACGTTGTGCTCCTCCTGGAGCCCTGTGCTGTGTTCCAGCTGGGATGATTTCTCCCCCTCTGATTCCGCAGGAGATGAGCGTGGGCTACGCCAACGGCATCCGTGTGATGAGCATCACTCACACAGGAGAACCTGGATTCGTGCTTTATATCCCCATAGAGGTAAGAGTACACGGCAGCCCGAGCTAATTAAAGCGGTTGCTTGCATAATCAGAAACACTTTCCAAGTTGACTCAGGGCGATGAGATGTCTGGTTTGCACCACGGGAAAGCAGGCGGAGTGTCCCTGCTTTGTGTTCCTTCCAGCCGGGCAGAGCTCTTGTGCTCTGGCAGCAGGGGACAGTGACATCCCTGGTGGTGTCAGCTGCCTCTTGCTCTCTGCTGGTGTCAGCCTGTGCTTCACCCTCCCGTTGCAGTACGCCCTCCACGTGTACAACGAGGTGATGAACATGGGGCAGAAGTACGGGATCCGCAATGCCGGTTATTACGCGCTCCGCAGCCTGCGCATCGAGAAGTTCTTCGCCTTCTGGGGCCAGGACCTGGATGCTTTTACCACTCCCATGGAGTGTGGACGTGAGTTCCAGGTCAAGCTGGAAAAGGTACAGCACCTCCTGCGCCGGGCTTGGTGGGAGGGCAGGACTAGGCTGAAAGGGCTGCCGGCCAAGCAGATCTAGTCGTGTCATTTTTTGGATGGAGCTGTGTGCAGTGCAGAGCTGTAACATGTATTCTTGTCCTTCAGAAAGGTGCTAGAAATACCAAAAGTGCTGTCTTCATCGCTCCTGGGCAGGGTTCCCAGTTGGCCTGTGAATGTGTGGTGCTGCTCGTGTGTGCTGTGCTCGGTGTTGCAGAGAGTGCTCTGTACCTTACAGATGCTCAGGGCTCTTGTTTCTCCAAGCTGTTTTCCCAGTTTGATGAAGCAAAAGCCAGCCCATGCACCAAGTGGCATGCAAGGCTAGGCACCAAGAACAGGTGTTTTCTATTTCTACTAAAACAGGGGAGTTCTCTGTTTTTACTAAAACATTGAACAGCACAGAGTCCTGTCTTGCTTTTGTGTGGTGGTGTTGCTGTCATTGGCTTGTTGTCTTCATTCTTCCATCTTTGAGCCCAAAACGAATGCTCGATTCAATTCAAGAAAGGAATGTAGCGATGGGGATACAAATGTCATATTAGTTACAGTTTTCCCTGTGGTTTACAAAGCATGGTAAACTTCTGGAGCCAGGAAAATGGCAAAGAGTAGAATGGTGACATGGTTTTCGCTGCAGTGAAAATTAGAACGATGTGCTGTGTCCTTTAACATCTGGAACAGCAAACGTGCCAGAAAAGCTTCTGCCTGAGCTTCAGCTCAGGCAGAAGCTTTTCTGGCACGTTTGCTGTATGGAAGCAGCCCATTTTGATAGGGGTTTCAGGTGTGAATTGCCATTGCATGGTGAGCTGCTCCGCTGCGACCCAACAGCTGCCGCAGTTCGTGTCCCTCAGCCAGCCCACGCCTCCTTCTTCCCCCGCAGGGAATGGAGTTTGTGGGCCAGGAGGCGCTGCTGGAGCAGAAGCAGAACGGGGTCTACAAGCGCTTCACCATGTTCATCCTGGAGGACCACGACACGGACATGGACCTCTGGCCCTGGTGGGGGGAGCCCATCTTCCGCAACGGCCGCTACGTGGGCAAGACCACCAGCAGCGCCTACAGCTACACCCTGGAGCGCCACGTCTGCCTTGGCTTCGTGCACAACTTCGACGAGAAGACGGGAGAGGAGCTGGTGGTGACCACTGACTTCATCAACCAGGGGGAGTACGAGATCGACATCGCCGGGCAGCGCTTCCAGGCCAAGGCCAAGCTCTACCCCTTCAGCTCCCTCTTCACGCAGCGGCGCCGCAAGGACGAGGTGGAACTGAGCGGCTACCAGAGGGAGTAGTGTCTCCCCCCCCAACCCGCTCCTCGTCCCAGGCTGGAGCTTCTCCATCCTCCAATCCTTTCTCCTCACCTCATATATTTCTTTTCCTTTCTCCTCTTGCAACTTTTAACCTTTTTTCCAGTGTGTTACATTTTGTATATTTTAAAACCTTCATTTTCCACCTTTTTCCCCGCTCCTGTCCGTCCTCCTCCTTTTCAACCCTCGCCAGGCTCCCCCCGTGTCCCAGTGGACGAAGCACAGTGCTGGACGTGCAGGAGTGAACTGCAGCCAGAACCCCCTGGCCTTCTGGTGGTGGGAAGGGTCGGGGTTGAAGCCCTGAGGACCTCACACCCTTCCTCCCCGCTCTCCAGGCGCGGGACAGCCCCGGTGGCGCTGCCTGCGGTGCGGGGTGAGCGCCGTGCCCTCCCCCTGGCAGAAGGGTCAACGCACACAGCAATAGAACGATCAGCTACCTCACTGGCACGGGGCAGAGCGCAGAGCGTGGTGTGAGCACAGCCACCAGACAGGCTCCGGGGCCGCTCGAGCGTGTTTGACATCAGAGCTCTGAGCTGGCAGTGGCGCTGGTAAGTTGGATGTTGTTGGGTGGCTTTTTTTTTTTTCTTTTTTT